TTCCAATCTCTAACATTCTGTGATTCCATCCTTCCCCCTCCTGGGAGTCTGGATGCCCAGGGCCAGCTTGGAAAGAGCAGAGCTGGTGGCCTTGGAGAAAGCTGTCATGAAGACAGCCAGAAGCCTCAGCAAAGGCCATCCCTTCTCCCCCTGGGAGCTGCTTTTGAACAGAGGCTGTCCCACTCGGATCTGCCCCAGCTGTATACGTGCACAGCCACAGCCCCACTGATCTGGGCCTGCGCTGCCATCCAAACCTGGCCTCAGCCCAGTCCCTTGGAGCAGCCTGATGCCTGGGGTTAAGGGCTGCCCCCCAATGCCCCTGGGCCCCTCCTGGTCCCCAGTCTCGCAACTTCACCAACACAGAAACTGTATTATGTTCTCAGAGTTGATTATAACCTTTCCAAAAGATGACTGACAATATTTAATTTAATAAGGGAATATACAGGTGGTATAAGTGCTCTATAAAAATGAACAAAGTAAAAGGCATTGGGGAGTTAATACTCTTCCTTGTAATACAAATTAACCAGTAAAATTAAAAGGCAGAAAATTTTCTGCCAACAAAAGGATTTTATGTTTAATTTACACAGAATGTAATTAGCGTCTCCAATTGACTGCTGTAACCAGTGATGGCTTGGGTCAAACAAAGGAAGAAGCATTTACCATGGGCATTTCTGTCCAACATAAGGGTTTCTGTACTCTTCTGAAGGGCACTACTGTCACTCTCTGAGCTCGTAGCCTTTATGGCAATTTCAGTGCTCCTGTTTTAAGTATCTCCCAGTGGTGCATGATTTTAAAATCATGTACTTAAACTCCACAATAAGCAAAGCCTCAAGACATATTTCAAAAAATCTCTTTTCCAGGATCCCAAACCTGCTCATTACAATACAACCTTAGTTAAAGTAGTAGTAGTGTCCCTAAAGCAGCTGGGAAGAGCTCAGGAAGACTCCCCTTTGTCACCTTCATGCCCTCTGTGCAAGGGAAGTCACCGTCTTAAACCAGCCCTTCTCTAAAGACTTTGGCATATGTGATCCAATGGGAGAAGCTGCAGGCTGAAAAGAGAGGAAATGGTGAAGCTAATTGCACTACAATCAATTCTTTGCCAGATCAGAGTCACAAAGGACTTTCACACCGCAGATACTTAAGTGAGAGCAATTTCTGAGCAAAACTTCATTTGTGACAGCAGCAGGAAACTGTAGCTCAGGGACTGGCAATTAGCTTCCTAAAATCCTCATTTTTTTCAATTTAACCTGAACAGCATCTGAGCAGAGGAGTGAATTTGTATATTAATTATCAAACTTGATTTCTTTCAGGGAAATTTTAAATACAGAATGTCATTAATGACGCAAACAAACAACATATATTATTCTTCTATTAGCAGCAATGCAGGGACTCTTACACATACCCATGTGTCCACAGGTATCTAGATTCTCCAGCCATCACCAATAAACTGCATCGGGGCAGCATAATTCCCACTGTACGGCCATCAGGGTGTTTGAAATCCATCACAATCTAAAAAGAAACAAAACCAGACGCCACAAATAAGCATAACTTACAGACCTTCATATACACGCCAGGCATTCTTAAGTCCTAGCTTTGTTTCCCTCTTCAATGTGTTCATCAGAATATTGCCACGAAACAGCTACGTATTTCCCAGTGATGCAAAAGCCTCTTGGCCTCTGTCCTTTAGCTATCTCCATTTCAGCACTGTCTCCAAAAATCTGAGGCAGTCACAAATATATGTGTATATACAGATAATTAAAATACTGAATACATTTTTTTTTTCTTTTAATAGTAATAGCTTTCTTTGTGAGAACACGGTAGCATCATTTAATCTCTGTGTGTACCTGTGAGGTAGGAAAGGATTACTACCTCTCAACTGAAGGCAATTGCATAAGAGGAGGAGATGGTTCATTTGCTGTAACTCAAGAATCTGAGAGTCAGGGACCTGGGCTAAGGCAGTCATCTACTGGGTTTTTTTGTGATGTCTATGCAGAGAGAGACAAGTATCTCCACAGAGTGATTCATCTAGTCTAAAATTTAGAGCTTAGTGATGCAGAATGACCCTGTGCCCTCTGGAAATTCCTATCCATTCACAGCAGATCAAGCTGAGATAATTAACTCTGACTAGATACATAACATTTAGATAATCAGTATTAGGTGAGAGAAATAATTTCCAACCTGCCCACATTCTTGGAGGTTTGCAGCACAACAAGCACATGCAGTCCATCCCAAGATCATGACTAACTTGCCAACTACCAGGCCATCCTTTTATTATTTGCCACCTGGCTTCTGGCCATGGCAATACATTGAGGTAATGCTTTCAGCTTTATTCCCATTTCACAGCCCAGATGGCAGCGCTACATTTTGCTTCTGCCTGGGCTAAGAATGTTATCCTTTTACATTTCCCAAATGAGAGAAACTCTTGCTAGGGAAAATAAGGAGCAGGTCATTTAAGCAAGCCAAACAAGTTACAGAAGACTTAACAAAAAGTATGCCAGATAGAAACAAATTAAGCAGTTCTGCTTCTGCATACAGATGTGTTTAACAAAGAGAAAACAGGGGTACCATGATCAGTCATTCAGCACAAAAAAAAGCAAAACAGAGACTGAAAAAGCAAGACTTTTAAACACGGCAAATTGCCACTTACAACATTTACTATTTAATGTAGTGCACACTGGAGCAAACTACAACGGCATTTACATTTTTAGGAATTTTTTTTTTATTTTTTTATTTATGCTGTAGTACCACCCATATAGGGTGACACAGCTTCTTCTGTTGAGCTATCTAAATTTAAGGCAAGAAATTACAAGGGTGACAAACAGTGGGGCTGAAAGGGGAAGAGAGATATGGTGGAACACAACCAAAGCCTACCTATAAGCACTGATTAATGGTTATGAAACACTTAAATAGCTACACAAACAGATGAAAGGCAGCCACTTGCTAATATACTCCTTCCCTTCCACTTAGCAATTTCTTCTAGGTATCCTCAAAGAATCATGGAGGGAAGAAGGAGAAAACACAGTGGCTTCATAGATCTGATGGGGTGGCTGTCCCATAAAGCACGAATAGGCGCAAGTCTCTGTAAAAAGACGTAGCTATCTTGCAACACAAAAAAACCAGGGGATGACTAAACAGGACCAGCAAGTAAGGAAAGGAAAAGCATGAAAAGATATGAAGTGAGGATCGAAGTGGTTGGATGAAAAGGATTAGATTATACTTCTGTCTCACTTTTGCCTCTCTAGCTCACTGCTGTTGAGGGACAGGTGTGAGGGGACAAGATAGACTGGGTTCTTCAGAAGTAAACTGAACATGAGACTGTCCAGATTCCTTCCTGGAGGCTCAGTCACCCCACTGTCCCTCTTTCTCTTATCAGGAGCATCTACAAAGCCCTGTTCTTGCAGATGATGTTCAAGAACTGCACTTTCTCGAAGAGTCAATGATTGCCAGCTCTATGGGGTCTACCTACATTTCCAGTTCCCATCTCCATCCAGGACCTGAAAGAGGACCTTGTTCGCTTTCACTTTTCTGCATGCCAGGCTAGAGGACTCTATATGAAGCAGCGGGAAACAGTTCCTACAGCTCCCTGCCTTCTCCACTGTTTTACCTCATGCATCTTCAGTTCCTTTGCCCTCACCTGCATGGTGCCCCAAAGGCTCTTAGCAGAAGATGCTCCTCAAACCCCGTCCTGTTAATTGTGGATCCAAAACAACAGAGGTTCAGAGTGTTCTATAATAGAGAACACATTGGGAATTAGAGGCCACAAAACTACCCCTGGTAGCTGGATTTTCAGACAGAAGTGGCAGGAAAATAACAGTAAGAGTAGAGCATGTCTTCCTGGATGAAGTTCAGCTAAGCTAAGCCAACAAGAAATACATGAAACAAATTTCTGATGGTGAAGAATTTGAGGCTGAAAAGCAGGAGATCACCTACTGTATGTAACAGCTGGCAATTCTAGTTCTCACCAACACAGGATCCCTGCTCCCTGCTTTTCCATGGAGGAAAAGCTTCTGTATTATCATCTCACATTGTGTGGCCGCTCCCCTTCTAAATGAGTTTCATCCTTACGACAAGTGGTGGTGATTTGGGGAGGCAAATATAAATAAAGGATTAATTTACTTGCACCTGGGCAATGACATTAAGCAAGCTGCAGTAATTGGAAGGGTCAAAAATCCAAATCCAAAACTGACTTTTGCTTATAAAGCAGAGAGAGATCCTTAGGTAGAATGTATTGCACTTTTCCTATAAACAACAAATTTGACATTGCAAATCAGAGAATCAAATTTAAGGAACCCACTGCAGGCATCTGAAGAAAATTAGTGTAATTCCTACGCTTAATTCTTTTCCCTAGAATAACTGCACCTGAACACTTAAAAAAACCAAGCAACAATGTTTCTTCTATTCTTTGTCTAGAGTACAGTAAAGAACGTTTAACCCAGAAGGGTTTTTGAAGAACTCTGTTGTTGTCTCTGAAAAGCCTATTACAGACTGAAGTAGATAACATTCCCACACTCTTATATGTGTCTTTATCCTGGCAAAACATTCTAAATTGTCACTGTCACAAACACACATACACAAAAGATTAACGCATTTGGTCCTCTTTTTAATTTACTAAGGACTCAACTCACAATCAATACAGCAACTCTGCCATTGCTGAATCAATCTGCTTCATGACAGCTTTGCTCCACAGGAGCTATTTCCAATTACTATTTTCGGTTTTACCCATTTTCTTTTTTCTCTTAGGCGGCAGAGTCAATAAAGATCAAATTTCCAGCTAGCCCATGGTGCATCATCTAGGGATTACATTCAAAAATAAAAATAGTGGATACTTTGATCTTATACAGCTTTTACCTTCTTTCTTTGTACTATGGAAAAAAGTGTGTCTCTATATATACACAGCAAAAAAAAAAAAAAACTTGAAAGAAACAAACAGCTAATAATATCTACTTGAGGATTTAAATATCTTGTCATGATGCCAGGTTATTTAAGAGAGAGTGCTCATGACGAGGGAGCACATGAAGCAGTAAACAGCTTACAAGGATGGCTAAACATCAAAGCAAAGTGACACCCACATCACAAAGATTGTTCCCGTGGAATAAAATTCAGCAAAATGCAAAACCTAGAAAAGAATCCACCTTCAAAGAAAAAGGGAAGAAAGTATGGGGTTTTTCAACTCCTGAGGGAATGAAAAGCCTGCACCACCTTCCAGCGCAACGGTACTGCTCCTCATGAAAGTGCAGGAGGATGGAGGTGAATCACTGGTCTATCAAACAAGTAAGGATCCAGAGACAAAACAGAAATAATGTAATGGGGCTATAAGGACAATGTCAATAAGGATTTCACAGCTACAGCACGGAATGACAACATTGTTTTTCTAAGCTTTGTCTCTGATGCATTTTGTATTTGCTGTTAATAGACTACCTTAGACGAAACATACTCTAAATGTGGAATGCTTCTCAAGTTTCTGACATTATTTACTGAATTTTCAGAGAGCAAAGACACATTATCAGCCTACACAGCAGTCTCCCACATGTAAAACAGATGAAAGAGAATGTCTACTTCAACAACAAGCTAACAGGTTTAAAGCCCACACATGAAGCTGGACCAACACAATGGGGCTCTATGCAGAGACAAGAACCCGCGGGCTTACACAGGACTGAGGCAAATCAATTGGTAATATAAAGTGCCTTTCACTGCAAAAACCATGCTAAATTCCAAAATCTGGAATTCAGAAAAATGCTGTATTTTAAGGAGAAAGAGAAGAGGATTACCTTCTCCAAACAATCCACATCATGGAAGAGCACAAGAGGACTCTTACACATCCTGACCCTAGGGGTCTCCAGAGGGCTCAATCTGTTCAAGACATAATGCCCAGATGTCACATGAAAGCAGTCCTGCATTCTCAAACACATCTCCTCAGGCTTGCACATAACATATTACTCTATGTTCTGAAAGCAAATAATCCTTATTTACATGTTTAATACTGTACCAAATGTCTACCAAGACACCACTGTACAAGCCCTTACAATACAGACACAGCTGTTCTGTAATGAGTGTAACTTTACATGCAAGCATGACAACACTGCCAGGACTCTAGTGTACGCACAGACATGTACATGGTGCTGAAGCATATCTGTAATTCTTTCAAACATTAAAAACTTGCAAGTTCTCGAGAGATTTTTAATATCTAAGTAGAAAAGGAAACACTTCAGAGTTCAAAAAGAGCATATCACCTTTTTAAATCACTGATCATTTACAACTATCTGTGAAAACACACTATAATTGGCAATTTCCCTGTTACCAAGGTTGCAAATACATGTAGCAGGACTCTCTTCACCCGTAATTTTATTCCCATGCCACCCTACCTGTAAATCTGTTGTCCTGTCATCAACTCTTACAACCTCCAATTGCAAGTTTTCTACAACAGAAGCAGTGTAAGGGACTGTAGGCTCCACATACGAGGGCCTCCACATGACATGAATAATAACTGACATAGGACAGACCAGGCCTTG